GCACCCTGCGACTCGGCTAAACACCTACTGCGTGGACTGCCCTGCCCCCTGCCTATCAGGGCCTCGGACCTCACCCACGACCTTGGACTGTGGGGTCCCTGCAGCTGACACTGGGGAGATCCTTCCTCCGACATCGGACTCACACGAGACTTCCTGATGGAGACGGGCCGCGGGCTAGCAGCCAGGCTAACAGGTCCCGATTTCCCCGACTTTTTGGTCATTGACCTGACCTGGAAGGTCAGCCAATGACCTAGCACCATAAAATCGGGTAGCATCAGTTTCCTCTCGTCACGGGCAGCACGCTCGTTTTTTTCCGGGAAGCTCATAGCTCAATCAGGGGCGAAACGGCAAAGGGGAGGTCCAACGACCCCCCCCCCCCCCCCCCATGCGCTCGCGGCTGGCAACACAAATACGGACGAGGGTTAACATGTGGTGACCTCCGGTGACCTCGGCAGTGAAATAACACCAACCCTTACTTTTTCCCATTGTAGTTGTCCCGTCGCTCAGTAATGAGCAATTCAGCGTCCAGAACGACACCTATAGAACACCTAACCTACCTATACCTACCTAAGCGACGGCGGCGGAGAAACAACCGGCCAAACAGCGTTGTGAAGCTACATTACCGGCCAAGAATTAGTCTGGCATTTTGCATCCTAAGGCCATAATACCTCACATCGTCTCAACTCTCACACATTCCAATGAAATAAAACTACCGAGCCGAATGCAACGAAAGCGGCACTTCAGATATGTATATTCCTTTCACCATGCACTATTTCTTCAGCCGTTTCTAAACGGTGACATTATGTAGCTCAGTTGCTGAGCTGCACGATGACTGCAATCGAAAAGTTGCCATTTAGAGTCCAAAGCTTAACGTACCTACGCAGTACGCACATACCCGAGCAGGGCCGGTTTCCTCACTTAATTCGGCTGGCTACGGCCTGCCACCAACCGCAACCATACGCGTCAGGGGACCCATAAACATCGAGCGTCTGTCGCGCTTCGTACCCGGACTTTTATAGCCGGGATGCTTGCTCTCGTCCACGCGAGTCCAACGCTCTACCGATTGAGCTACGGAACCAGCGGCTGAGGGTTGAAACGGAAAATTAACCCTCGCCGGACCTATTGGTTTTCTACATACGCGCCGGCCGAGGGGGGGGGCGGGTCATCATCATCATCATCATCATATATTTTTTGCGTCACATGGGAAGTAAGTAAGAAATAGAAAACGACCCCTAAGAAATAGGGTACGACCCCCCCCTCGCCGTTTCGCCCCTGGTGGAGCTAGCGCGTCGCGGAAAAAACGAGCGTGTGCGCCGTTACGAGACGCAGAGATTGGTACCCGATTTTAAGGTCCTAGGTCAACCGGTGACCTCTGAGGTCAGGTCAAGTGCCCCAAGGTACGGTTCAGTTTTTGGTGAATAACTTCGCAAAAAACGGCCGCAGAGCGCCGATTTTGGCAGCATCGTGTTCGTCTTGCTCAGGCGCGTCGAATGATATACTTTTTGTCCGGGTCAGGTCAACTTGGGGTGTTGACCTCAGGTCAAGGTCAGGTCAGCACCCCAGGTCACGAAGCTGGTCGAAAGAGGTCATGTCGCATATCATTCGATTCGGCAGGTCTTCCTGAGTCCATTGGTGGCTTTCCCGACTCGCTAGCTCAATTTGATCAAGAGTTATTGACGAAAAACTAATATGACCTTGATGACGTCATAATTGACGTCACGCAAGGTCAACATTGCAAAAGTGACGCATCTAACCTTGCAAGGAGTGCATAAAATCACGATTCTGTGTGCTTGAGATAGTTGGAGATCGTTCCCGGCGCCAGAATAGCCGTTTTCATTTTTCCCCATTGACTTATAATGGTGAGGTCACGAAAATGACCTGACCTCATATGACCTTTAGGAAAAATCCGAGATATAAAAGTTGTGGGACTCATAATGGATACTAGATCTTGCAAGTTTCATTTCCCTGTGACATCTCCTCTGGCAGTGAGGGCGTTGCGAAGTTGCGACATCTGAAGACCGTGCAGAGGTTCACTTATGACGTCATAGGTCAGTGACCTGACCTGACCCAAAGATGCGGTTGGTGTCAAAAGATGCGGCTTGGATCAAAGGTCAGGTATGCCAAGTTTCAGCTCTCTATCGCCAGCGTGTTCGGAGCTATCGCGAAAAAACCCTATGGGGGGGGGCGGCACCCGCCCCCCCCCCCCCTCGGCCGGCGAGGGTTAAATCACATGCGACAGATCACTTGGATAAGAACATGCTATCAGCTGCTTTCATTGGTAAAATTGTCATTTCAAAAGTCATGCGTGTCACTCGTAATTGTGCTCTTCTATCATCATACTTGCGCAAACAAGTGGAGTGACCCTCTTTCGCTAACACCTATATATTATATCTAGACTAGGAGACTTCCGAAAAGTGGGACGACTGAGCAGACGGCGGTAGATATTTAGCCGTGTGAGTTACCTGCTATCCTAATCGGTACATTTTTGTCTTAACGAATAATCAGCGGAAACCCTTCTTAGATTGAATATTTGCTCGCGTATGTACTTACATACATAATGTCCAAAATATGTGAATCGTTTTAAACATTTCATACCACATTATGCCAAAATAATGCAGATAGATATGTCGCAGATATTGTTCAATGGCCATGCATTACTGCCTAGTGCCGGGGGAATTCCTACATTTTACAAGAAGGTACAATTTTTCAGACTATTTTTTTTTTTCATAAGATATGTAAAGCAAATAGCAATTAACGGCATACTTTTCACGCCATTTTACAACAATGGGGGACCTATTTTGCGTTACGCTTATCATGCTAAATCAAAGGGCAGCACCCCTCTCCTCGCTGGCTCGTTTTCCTTTTTTCTCCCGTTGGGCCAGGTCTGCCGGTTCGTGCACAGCCATCTGTCGCTGCCGCGCCACTGCTCGTCATGCGCGCTGAATGTGGCGCAGGCGACGCGCCACGATCAGTCAGCGCCGCAGAAAGGCTGGGGGCGTGGCGCATCCGCCCGAACTTCCATGAAAGTGAAAATACACGACTATCGGGTCCGGCTACACAGGGGAGGGGTGTGACTCGAACGGGGACCCTTCAGCGGGCCCGGCAGCCGCCACCTGCCGCCGCCGGACCGCGGCCCCACCAGTAATGACTTTCAAAAACGCCACTTTTGTCGGCAATCTCTGCCGGTGGCGGACGATGAATAGTGTGTTTTCATGAGCGTGCTGCATAATGATCCATGTTGGTCGTTAAATTTGCATCATTTGTTGTAATTCATTATGCCTTATGATCATACGCCACACTTACTCGACAAATAAGGTATTCCGTGTTGATGTGTTCTAAGCGGAAATGGTTGTGGTGCTAAGGAAAAACTAAAATGCCCGCATGCAATTCGAGCAGCAACATATGTAACATATGAGTGTTTGCTTTCTTTTTAATTTAGCACGAATGTTTGAATAGGCGTGGCGCGTGCAGAATTGGAGCTCACGCTAAGCAGAGTTGGTAGGGCTATTCCGGGTAACGGGAACAATTTTGATGCCTCAAGCTTTGAAGTGCCTTTCAAAGCCACACACGGTCAGTCCCGCTCAACTGACTTCGATTGGATGTGGATGCTTCCAGGCAGAAAATCAAGACCATTCCTGGCAGGTATCAGAGGCAGGAGCATCTCGAGGCCGTGCCTCCTCACTACTGGGATTCCAACTCTCTATCAACTGAGCTCCGCGATGGTGTCAATAACATGGTTATTGGGTAATCATGACGCACCTTTTCTTTTATGGAAGCACCGACTACTGAACCACTGTAACACATGTAAGCAGGTAAATCGCTAAACCTCATGCATCTTTACCAAAGCCCTGTCTACTACGTAAGATCTAATACCTAAATGGCTTTCACTGTTCACATTTATTCTGGACTAATGACTTAAACCGTTAAACCACCCAATTAAGAGCTGCTGTAATTAATAATCATCCGTCAACTGACATTGGTTTTCAGTGACGCGCGCCGATAATAAAGCCCTGCAGCTGGCACACTAATGACAGGACATTTTTCTGTGTCCTATCCATAAAGACCCTCGAAACGTTTGAAACGCGACTGTTTCATGGAACACTAAATGACAAATTAACCTCACCTTTGAATGATCACTCTCGAGACCTCTGCACAAGTTTGATAGCTTCGTTTGTAAAAACCGAATTCGCCGATGGAATTTTTACAAGCCTTTTTATGAATCGCTGCCGCTGCCGGCGTGATAATTTGTCAGTGAGGCGTGAGAGAGGTGCCTCCGGGGAGAATACCACCGCGGACGGAGGCCAAGGGCCGTCATTAATCGCCGAGACGGGCGCAGCGGCACCCGATCCACAATAGATGAGGCGGAAATACGACAGTCATTCAGAAGGTGCGTGCCGACGGGCGTGACTGAGCGACGCGACGGTCGGCCACAGTGCGGCTCTCAGAGCTACAGTCAACCGTCCACGGTAGAACGACAGTCTGCGATGCAAGCGACAGTAGTTATACCAAGCGACAGGCAGCGACCTATTGTACATATATATTCATATATAGTTACCTTACGCAACGGCCCACGGTCGGTCACGGAGTACATACAACGCCAGGGCACTGAAGAGCGACACATAGCGATAGTTTACGCGACTGCCAGCCACAGGGTGACAGTCGGTGGCGTACTGATGGGGCTTCACTATGACCGATACTTAGTGACCTACCTGCGTTTCGATGTCATCCACCTAAGGCGATTTCGGCTTTGGTGGATTGACTGCTACCTGTTGGTTGAGCGATGGAACGGGTGACTTGGCTGTGGTCATGAGACCAATTCTGAGACGGGCTAGGACGTTTTAACGCAAGTACGCCTTGGGTTACCGGTCGCTGATTCGTCTTTATTTTCGTACCGTTACAAATATTGCTTTCATAAGTATCGAACGCTAGCCTGAAACACATTTTCGTGTTGTAGCTAATTTCAGACAGACGTTATTAGTGACCGAACGAGACCATCGAGAATGAGTGAGTTCTTCTGGGTTTGGGATAACACAACCCAGTAGGTATGCAGCCCAAACCTGCCAAACCTGCATATGAATGACTTGGCTGGTTGCGCTCATATAAACGCTCGCTATTTGCGCTCGCTGTTGGTAGTGGTATCAGGTATGTTATCTATAGCTTAGTGGTAAATATGTTATCTAATTCTATTCCCAACTTGCCTTACGGCTATAAGCATTTTACGGCGTTTATTAGGAAACGACTTTCGATGCAAATGTAACAAAACGTATAATATTTGCTATGACCTTTTCCTCGAACTTAGAATTGTAGAAAAGTCGAAAGTGATGCATTCTAATGGGTGAATTTTCGCCCACAGGGCATCGTCAGACAAGCAAATAGCATTGAGCAAACATGTAAAAAAATCAGCCCGCCCGCCTGGACTGATTGTTTTAATATCATGTTTTCATTTGTTACATGAAACAGCATATCACTGTAACAAAACGTCTTAATTCCATAGACACCTTTGGCTGAAATCTGTTTAATCAGATCTAATGATCTGGGAAAGTAAGAACCAATCAGCACGCCGGGCTGGCTCCCCTCCGCTCTGATTGGCCGAGAGGCGTGGCTTACGGCGGCGGCACCCTAATAGAGCGATCAATGTCACACATCAGAAGGTGCTGATAGTCATCAGGGTGCGCCGCTATAGGACGAGCGGGTTAAGTCCGGTGGCTAACCTCTACCAAGAGAACCATCTTCTGCGCCGGTGGTCTACTGCGGTACAGCTGTATCGAGTGTCATCGGGATGCACCCAAGCTCGTTTCCCCGGCTGTGCGTTCCCGTTCCGTGGCCTCTGCGCCCTGAACTGGCTCTGACAGACCACCGCCTGTCACTGGTCAACCATCCGCTGTTGTGGCCTCGGGGTACTGCAGTGATCTGTGTCACCCCGCCGCACACTCTGCTGACCTCGCCGCTGATCCCAGTGACCCCTCTGCTACCGGTGGCAGTGACCTCCGGGGCGTCTGTGTTGACCCCGTCGAGGGCGGTGCCAGGGAGGTCGGAGAGGGACATGGGCGTTCCCCTGTGTGTGCCGGCTGCAGTCAGCGGGGGTGACCTGAGACCTGTGGTGACCTCGCCAAGTGAGCTGCCCAGAAGTTCGGCAGATGGTGGTGAAACTGTTCGAAAAATATCAAATACTAAACGCAGAGCGACTTTGAAATTTGGTGTCAGTGCGATTCTAGGTACCGATCGCAAAAACCCAGTCCAAGGGAATGGAACCTTCCAAGGTGAGACATATAGGTAGTCAACCGAGCTACATCATTGCTGATTGCTTATATTAAAAAAAAACGTTGCTGTGAAACTTGATCGTGTGGACCATTTTGCCATGTACGTAAGTACATTTTACGATATTAAATTTGGGACCGTTCCATGCTTCCATCCTCAGGATACTGAAATCCTTCTCCTCCACACCGCCACCCCCTTCCGGGCTGGACAGGCAACTTTATCTCATGCGGGCTGCTCCCTTGGGGCGGCACCGCTGCTCCCGAGGGAGCGCACCCCGTAGCCGGGTGCAGTGAGTGCCTTGGGGCTGGGTGGCCTGTCTTCGGACGGGCTCAGCCCCGGCGACTCACTAGGGTGCCTGCCCAGAGTCCAGACCAATGTCTCCCCCTATATCCTATCATCCTCCCGGCTCTGAAATGGTCTTACTGGACCGAAAGGGCCTAACCCAACAAAACAAACAAACAAAATATTAAATTTGGGTATCGTGGAAAACAACAGAGACCGACAACATTATTTGTTTGAGGTTGAAATAAGCTATCGGTCGTGCCCATATGTATATAGGTTCCTATAACGCTATAAAAAACAGTTGTCCTTATTATAACCAGATGGCTGTACTATTTCGTCAGAGTGTGAGCTCGACATTAGAGTCTGGAAGGGTTGACTCCGATCCGATCTAAAGAAGACTACAAAGCGGTTTCCATGCGTGTCTAAATGGCAATCGTAATTTAAAAGCGTTTCCCGAAGAATCGGAAACACCTTCGCTCGCCTTAGGTCACATAAAACGGTCAAAAAACATACATGGACAAACTAAGGGGAACACGGATAACAAGAAATAATTGTGGCTCAAATCGCGTGCAAAGTCATAGTCAAGATACCAATAAATTACTATACGTTCTTGAATGGCATTGTGACCCTTTCTAGTGAAAATCGCCCCATGTGGTTTTGGGTGAATCAAAGCAGCAATTGATGTTCCTCTTAACCATGGCCGTCTATTGACTGATATTCATTGTTTTATTGCTGTTTTTTACGTTTAGGTAATCACTGAAACTAGATTGTCTTGAACAGCAAAAAAAAAAAAGACGTAAAAGTAGATACGGGTAGATTACCTGAGGAGTCTTTCCAATTTAATAAAAGTGCCGCAGTAATTTGTGATAGCTCATTTGACCAGTTGTTCCTTACTTTATGCTTTCAGCGAGGTCCAGTCAATATAGCAGCTACACAGAATCAGAAACGCCTGGCCTCCCCACCGGGCTAGTTGCTGCGTCCCCTCGCCCCGGACAATGTTGTAAAGCGACGACTGCCGGTGGGACCCTCCCCCGTGAGAGCTGGAGTGATGACGTCATCGGTCACGACGCGTCATCTGTTTACGTCACCAGCCCATTGTCGGTGCATTCAGTGGCCAGTCGGCTACCGCTTCTTTTCGGTGAGTAGATACTCAAAAGGGAAAAGTCAATTTTACACTCTGCTTGTACTTCCGTTAGTTTCAAAAATACAATGGTAGCTATATTCCCATGCATAAAACTCGCCACTCTACGGCTTAAATTAAGAGTGTAATTTGTCATAATCTATGAGCGAGGGCCGGTGCGTGTTCTGACAGCGGTCTCCCTCTCTCCGTGCAGCAGTGCGGCGGCGTCGCAGCCTCCTCCGCCGCCCGGTGTTCTCAGAGGCTCAGAGACGGGGCCTGGAGGCCAGGTTCCAGACCCAGAAATACATCAGCAGACCGGACAGGGCGCGACTGGCCGACACTCTGGGGCTGCAGGATGCACAGGTGGGCAACTATGCCGCCAGACGCGTGCCAATAGCGTTGACCTTCACTAACGCGCCACATGAAGTATCACCCTAAAGGACATGCAGACATGCATTCAATCACACCGAAACAATATTTGCTGTTGCAATGCGCTTGCACTTTTTTCGCAAGAAGTTTATTTATGATGCTGTATATTCTCGCTTGGCGCAGGAGGTCGACTCCTGGGTGTCGTCCATTTTGCCTTTAAACCACTATTTGTTATCTGATGGCTTCTAAACCACTATAAGTTAGTTGATAGCCTTTCCACTCTTCGCGTCAGGTGAAGATCTGGTTCCAGAATCGGCGTATGAAGTGGAGAAACTCCAAAGAACGAGAGCTGCTGGCGAGCGGTGGCAGTCGCCAGCAGACGCTGCCGACCCGGAACAACCCTTATCCGGACCTCTCTGACGTCTCCGGGCCGGGAGCTGACGCCCGGAGCAGCCTGGAGGATGGTTATAGGCCCGGAGACGAGACGAGGGGCCGCTCACGCCCCGATCGAACCGCGGAGGTTCCGTCACCGTCTCGCCCCGGCCTGTCGCCGCGAGACGCAAGTAAAGGAGAGTGTGAGCGAATGATGAGTGCGTCCAAGAGCGTTCAGGTTCGTCTGAGTGGTGAGTTGTTTGAAGTTGATAACTGTAGAAAGAATCCATCGTGAATAGATTTATAAGTTACTTTTCATTTTTGTGCTTTAAGCTCTGGCCACTCGCCACCTAATGTGCTACTGCTAATCCATGGAATGGCATAGCGGTCTGCTATTATTGCAAATAAGACGTTTACTACATATAGCAGAAGTTGCGTTTTAACCCTTTCATCGTCTTGAAAAATAGACACTCAAAAGTTTGGATCATTTTGACGATACTATAGCATCTTCCTAAGGATCGGGGGAGGGAGGTCTGCCTGGGCCTGTGTTAGGTGTCGCTGTTGCGTCGCAGTCACCGCATATGAAGATGTCGCTAGTGTAGCAAAACTGCCTCCGCGACAGCCGACAGGTTCCATGGTGTTTGCCTATTGCCTACATACGACTGGTCGACGACGACGTGCAAAGTGTTGCAAAGTGTTGCTGTTTTATTATAGGACTCTGCCTTTGATTGGGGTGTCCCCGTCGACGATGACTTTAATGAACTAAGCTAAACTAACGCGTAGACCGTTTTTAGCGTTCTACACTTTGGCACCTGAATGTCGCCTCCTTGACGAATACGTAAGTCTTCTGTAATTGACCTAGCCAAAACTCTTACCCTATTATAATTCTCTTGGGCACGATATGATGCATAGCCATTAGCAATAAGTATTCAGCATAACGTTGAAGGCGAAATGTAGGTTTGTCGTAGTTTTCTTGATTTTTAAGAAAGGCCAATTTTCATACCACCTTGATAATGTGGTGTTCACCGTTTACCTACAGCTAACAACTATGGGACACCTTTAGTTTTCATTAGGCATTCTCCGAAACAGTTTTTAAGGGGTTAGATGCAATGCAAACACATCTCTTACCAAAGAGCCCTGACAATAAACGATTTTCCCAGCATCCTGCGCTTTTATATGCTACCTGCATGCATAGACAGAGACACATTAAATTGTGCTTAATGCCGTTATGAAATTCATGGTTGCAATGTTCGATGCATCCCGTCCTCACATTTTCATTGTGTTTGCGATATACATAGTTACATAGACCCTACCAGCTACAAAACACCGAGTTTGAGCGCATCAGCTCCGTGTATTTATAACGATGGCTTTCGTACGACACTGAAAGACAGAACATTGCATAACCAGAGTCCACTACAACAGTGGCCTAGTGACATCACCTTGTCACTGAGCACAAATAAGGCATGCAAAGACACTCATGCGAGACTCTCCAAGTTCAACGACGCGGTAGCTCAAGAGCTTTGGCTACACCATTCACATATATCATCGCAAACCACGAAGTCATGAAATGCGCACGAAAAAATAACAGCACCACCTTACTTCATCCCAGCTAGTTTTGACGACGGACTCGGGTCAAGCCATCGAGTAGAAGCTCGTTGGCCTCTGCCAGCTTTCTGAACAGGACATCGCTGTCGTCATCATAGTACGCGTAATCATAATCACTGAGCAGCGGAGCGGTCTGGCGCCGCTGAGGTGCCTCCGCCTGCGCTCTGGCTGCGGGGCGGCCTCCGTACCGACCTCTGGACGACGGCAACACCAGGCGCGTGGCACCTGAGCGAGCCTCCCTGGCGGCGACACTCTGCTGCAGGCGGCGACTGCGGCCGACCGCCGGCAGCGCCGAACGCAGGGGGAGTTTCGGCTGGCGCAGCAGTCGGACCCCGCCTGGAGCCACCTCCTTGTTGGTCGGTAGTAGGACGGGAGAGGGAGAAGGCTCTGGGGACAGTAGCGCAGGCGCAGGTGACGTTGAGGTCTCCAATGATGCTGAAGGAGTGGGAGGAGACGGTGCTGGAGACGGGGCCGGAGACGGTGCCGGAGATGAAGCTGGAGACGGTGTCGGTCTCGCGGTGTTAGTATCGGCAATCTGACGGCGGCTGGGACGGCGGTTTGGACGGCGGCTCGGTCGGCCTCGGATCCGGATCCTTTTACGGATGATGATCGGGGTGGTGGAGGCAGCCTCAGTCGTGGTGGTGGCCGGGGTGGTGGTGACCACCGCTGGTTCTTCCGCCTTCCTCTGCGGTTCCCTCACTCTCTGTGAGAGCACGCCTGTTGGCCTGCTGATTGAACTGGCAGTCGCCTGGTCTTCTTCAACGAGGGATGTCTCGGTGGTGGGCCGGGAGACGACCTCTTCTTTCTTCGGACCAAGCTCCAATTCTGTCGAGTCCACACCGACGCTGTTTTGCTGCACCTCTTGGCGGTCGATGTCACCCCGGATCACCTTCTGTCTCCTCCGCACCACCGGTTTTACCGTCACTCTACCGGAGCCGAATCGTCGGCCCCCACGACCTCGTCGAATGGTGGAGAAACGGGACCTTGACGGAGCTGCGGTGACCAACTTGTTGCGGGGAACTGCAGGTCTCTCCGTCGGAGAGGAGTTGGAGCGGCTGAAGGCTGCCGCTGTAGCTCGTGGTCGAGCCAGATTAGAGTTGGAGGAGCTTCGACCGGCAAATCCACCACGTCTTCTTGATCCTCTCCTTCGAACAGTGGGAATGGTGGTGCTGAGGTTCTCTGGTGATGTGTCTGGTGTTGTGGATTCGGTGATGATCTCAATGCCGTCATCAGTAGAAGTTTCAGTGGTCACCACTTCACTGACAGTCGTGGTTGCAATCGAAGGGGGAGAAGGCGTTTTTGTCGTCCTTGGTCTGAACGTCGTCACGGCCACATCGTCCTCCTCTGGAGTTTCGGTGCGACTACCAGATGTAACCACCGCATTCTGTCTCACCTCACCACTGCTGACACCAAAGCTCTGAGCACTGCGTGCAGCAGCCTCAGGCAGCACACTTGGTCCGAAGAAACTGCGAACTACCGGACTGAGAGAAAGAGCCAGCTCCGTAGTCGTAGGCTCGAGCGGCCGTGGCTCAACAGGAGACGAAAATGTGAACCCAACTGAGCCGGATGGCGTGCTAGTGGGTGCCAAGCGACCGAAACCACGCTGGGAATCCTTCGAGGGGCGGTCAGAGGAAAGCTCGTTGTCATCGATGTCGTTAAGTCCTCTCCAAACCGATGGCTGAGTGGTCGTAAAACGGGACTGTGTTCGTGACGCGAAACGAGACTGGCCTCTAGCAAAGGATGAGGTACGAGAGAGCTTCGACGTTTCACCCTTTTCTTCGGCTATACTGCCCCCGAATGAATTGGACCTCTGATCTTGACGACTGGTGGCAACATTAGAGACAAGAGCGGCCGCTGTCGGAGCAGCTTTCACAGGAGATTGGATGCTGCCGACGTCTCCGACGGTAATCGCCGCCGTGAGCGTCGTTCGACCGGAGTTTCGCTGTGAAGAAAGGGTATTTTTGGGGCGCTCTGCGGCTTTTTGGTTTCCCTCAAAGGAGGAGAGTGAGTTCAGGCGACCTGAGTTAATCTCGAAGGTCTGACTCTCAGCTGGTGCAGAAGTTGGAGGAACGCGATCTGATGTCTTTTGGATTGACTGACTTTCGAAAGTCCGTGCGGTACTGTCGAAGGATTGGATGGCGTTACTATCAAAGCTTCCTTGATCCTGGCGCGGACGACCCGCTACCAACTCAAACTCTTGCTGCGATCTCTCTTCAGACTCAGTTACTGAGAAGCTCGGACGTTCCCTCTCCACCACAGACTGGTCAGCAGACGACCCTTTGTCAGCACCCCTGTCCAGCGCGTTCTCCCTCGGCGGGAGTCTGGGTGGTTCTGTGATCGTCCCTGTGACGGTGCTGCCCCTCCATCGCGCAGCGTTCGGAGCGGTGACGATCACAGGCCGGGCGGTGCTGGCAGCGACGAACTGATCGAACCGGTTCACAGGACGAGCGGTCGTGGTGGCCCGCTGGGATGAGAACCGGGGAGCAGCGGGGAGTGAGCTCTGGCCGGCGCTGAAGCCGGTGTCGTATTCGTAGTCGTCCAGCTCAGGAAGATCGTCCTCATGCAGGACGTTGAAGGCGGTCTCCTTGTTGGAGTGGGTCTTGAAGATCTCGAAGTTGCGTGCGTGTAGAACTGAGTCGAGCTCGCAGACAACCTCGAACCAGTTGGCGCAGATCAGGTTTTGCTGGTCGAACACCGTATCGTTGGGGCACAGGAAGCGGAAACTGGGGCCCTGCAAACGAAAAGAGAGGGTGAGTCTCAGTACGACACATTAAAGAATCATTGGTGTGCAGATGGCAACGAACCTAGGGCTGATAAATATATTCGTATTAGGGCTGATAAATATACTCGTATTATGGTTATCTTTAATAGCAATGACATGAGATATATACACAAGGCGAAAAACAAACATATCGGTGCAGAATAATTTGCTAGATCCCAACTAGTCATCGCAATATAAATGTCGCAATCAAGGTTCAAGTTCAAGCTGTAGGTTTATTAGGAAGGAAAACAGCTGTTGAAATATTATAAAAGCAGCACGACGCAGCTCTTTTGCGGCATTTACATGACGGCAGCGATACGAGTTTGCTGCCGACAGCACATCACATGTGTAAGCTCGCATCACCGACCCACTGCACTGACCTGTCCCGAGCCACACACGTGGAACATCTGACAGCCCGCCTCGACGTCAGCATAGTACCCGCCGGGCTGGCGTCCGCGGCACGAGAAGCTGGTCTCGGGCAGAGCGTCCGGACTGTAGTTGGGGGGAGGTCTCTGCGCACCGCTCTTCCCCACCGTCACCGCCAGCAGGAGCGGTAAGAACGGCACCATCGCGGCTGGAACGGAGAGAGGGGTGTGAAATGAGGAGAGAGAGAGAGAGAGGCGAGAGGGAGAGGGGTGTGAAATGAGGAGAGAGAGAGGAGGGGGAGGGAGCAGGACAGAGGAAGAGAGTAGAGAGAAAATGGAGGAAAGGAATCAGAGAGGAAGGGAGAGAGAGAAAGAGAAAGAGAGAGATAGAGAGAGAGAGATAGAGAGAAAGAGAGAGAGAGAGAGAGAGAGAGAGAGAGAGAGAGAGAGAGAGAGAGAGAGAGAGAGAGAGAGAGAGAGAGAGAGAGAGAGAGAGAGAGAGAGAGAGAGAGAGAGAGAGAGAGAGAGAGAGAGAGAGAGAGAGAGAGAGAGAGAGAGAGAGAGAGAGAGAGAGAGAGACGAAAGGGCAATAGTGGTAGTAATGCTGAACACCACTCATCCTAGATAACATTTTGCCACCTAAATCTGCTGCCATCTATCCATTCATGTGTTCTTACACACTGTCCGCTGATTGGCTATTTACATTTAAGGCATTCGACGTCTCTGCCCAGAGGCAATGAGATGAACAATCACATAATCTGCTGAGTGGTGGCTGTGTGTTTCGTTAATGTCTTGAATTTCACGCTCAGCCTGTGGATGGACAGCAGAGATTGATGATGTGAATTAGGCAAGTGAGGGCATCTAGATTATGAGAACTATATTTACCGTATCCTATTAAAGTGCGCATAATCGCCAATTGAACCCGTATTTAGTTGTTCATTTTATGTTGCGTCATAAAAATCGTACATAAGTACATTGTGGAGGCACTGCAGGGCACCAACCATAGCTTTTAAAAAAGCAAATCCTCAAACGTCTTAATTTTCCGCAACCTTTTCAATAAAGTAAGGATTGTGGTAAGCTAAAGAGACAAAGATAAATCTGTTGGTTGACAACACTGATTCACTCGCATTGTAGTATTGGTTTATTGAGCCGCTCATAACCTGTAATTTGGCATTGCGGTTAAATCTTGGTAACTGCAGCGCAGCACTGACGCCATCACCAGAGCCTGCACTTTAAGCAAGGGCAATATCACCAGAGACTGCATGTCCGGCTAGGGCACCATCAGCAGACTGCATCTCTGGCTAGGGCGCTATCACCAGGAGGCTGCATTTCCGGCTAAGGCGCTATCATTAGGAGACTGCATAGTGCATATCAGGCCAGGGCAGTATCACCAGAGACTGAAGGTATCTCTAGCTAGGGCGTTATCACC